CTCCCCATACTTCACATGAATGCCAACCAGGGGCGGACTGACAACTCATGGGGCCCCCCGGGCAGTAGGGGATCATGGGGCCCCTGTGTCCTTGCCCAAACAAAAAAGCCTATGAAAAAGGTACCAGGGGCATCTCATGGGGCCTCCTACTGACCCCGGGCCCTCGGGCAGTGCCCGAGTTCCCATTGACTGATCCATATGGTACTAATGTAAAAAATGCACTTCCCCATAACTAGGCTCTGAGGAAGAGGTACAACCTCGAAACGCGTCAGCCACCAGCTATCCAGATGTTCACAGTCCCCCACCAGACCACCCATAGGGGTTCCTGGACCACTCTGCATCCCTTGCGACATGCTTCTCATTTTGATCTGTTTTTATATTTCTCTTGTGAGTATTTTACAATTTAGAAATTAATCTCATTTTTAAGGTAATGCACCAGGCCCGTTCGCCCTCTTTTTGTTTCTTATATACAGTTCTCTTTGGATTTCTCTGGTCCATTGAGGGCAGCAAGGCTTGCATTCCTTTCTTGCTCATGTGGAGATACTGACATTATGGAGTCCACTGTCCAGCGCAGGAGTACAGGCATTCGGTTGCTTCATTCTTCTTTCTATGTTTGTTCTCCTCCCGGGGGCCCTACCTCTACTCTCTTGCCATCCCTAGGTACTAGGCTGGGTCCCAAGGTACTCTTTGACACAAGATCAGTTCCAGTATGTCAGTATGCGGGTAACTGGTCGCTAGTGAAGGGGCAAAGCATACCACCCCTTCACTACCAGACAGGGGCGGACTGACCATTTGGAAACTCGGGTCAGTAGGGGGCCCCATGAGATGCTCCTGGTACCTTTTTCATAGGCTTTTTTGAGTTTTGGCAAGGACACAGGGGCTCCATGATCCCCTATTGCCCGGGGGGCCCCATGAGTTGTCAGTCCGCCCCTGCAGCAGAAGTACTGTATCTGCAACACTTTCTATTCGATAAAAGCACAAACAATGTTATCTCCCTTCCAGGGGCGGACTGACAACTCATGGGGCCCCCGGGTAATAGGAGATCATGGGGCCCCTGCGTCCTTGCCCAAACTCAAAAAAGTCTATGAAAAAGGTACCAGCGGCATCTCATGGGGCCCCCTACTGACCCCGGGCCCTTGGACAGGGCCCGGGTTTCCAAATGGTCAGTCCGCCCTTGCTCCCTTCTGTAGACTAATAATCCCCGAGTACATGCAAACTGTCCCGGATTTTCCAGTACAGTCCAGCATCTTGGCCTTCTGCATTGCCAATTCTCTGTCTTGTGCCATGTCCAGGGATCACAGCAGAAATGCCAGGTCCTCGTCACTCTCTGTGGGTTGACCTGGAAGCTCAAATAATGTTATCGCCCTTCTGTAAACTAATAATTCTCACATATGTGCAGGGGTGGACTGACAACTCATGGGGTCCCCGGGCAATAGGGGATCATGGGGCCCCTGTGTCCTTGTGCAAACTCAAAAAAGCCTATGAAAAAGGTACCAGGGGCATCTCATGGGGCCCCCTACTGACCCCGGGCCCTCGGGCAGTGTCCGAGTTTCCAAATGGTCAGTCCGCCCCTCCATATGTGACAAACCCAACCTGGACGGAGGCTGTTGGAGAGGACTTCAGGGTAGCCTCTTGCCTACTAACCATGGCCCTGGCATCTGATGGGTGCCTGGGAGGACCTTCTTCGGATTCAAACTGTATCTCCCCAAAACACACAGACTCTGAGAACTGGAGGACCAGGATTTGGGGTCTCTGTGCCCAAACTAGCATTGACTGCTTCAAACCCTCCCCCCCTCCTTCCTAGTCTCAGAGACTTTAAGAAGATGTTAATATAATCAGCTCAAAACAAACCTGATTCTGAGGACTCTTGATGTAATCTGTTTATTAAGGTATTTTGTGTTTACTATCGTCTCCCATTGTGTGCCTCCTAGGTGTACATTCCCATTGTTAATTGAGTTAAATGATTCACCTATTGTTTGTTTGTTAGCAAATCCTTCTGGAGGTTCCACATGATAGGATTAGGCTGATGTCAGCTTCACCTTGTTATCTAATCAGGGATGTTTATCTCAATGTGTAATATTTATTTTTTTGTGGGGTCTGCCTCTATTTCTGGGGTGTATAAAAACCTGTGTTTTCTGTTCAATAAAGAGTTCCTGTTTGGCATTTAACCCCTCGCCTACAGGGCACTTCTACCCCCTTCCTGCCTACGGGCACTTCTACCCCCTTCCTGCCTACAGGGCACTTCTACCCCCTTCCTGCCTACAGGGCACTTCTACCCCCTTCCTGCCTACAGGGCACTTCTACCCCCTTCCTGCCTACCGACACTTCTACCCCCTTCCTGCCTACAGGGCACTTCTACCCCCTTCCTGCCTACAGGACACTTCTACCCCCTTCCTGCCTACAGGACACTTCTACCCCCTTCCTGCCTACAGGGCACTTCTACCCCCTTCCTGCCTACAGGACACTTCTACCCCCTTCCTGCCTACAGTACACTTCTACCCCCTTCCTGCCTACAGGGCACTTCTACCCCCTTCCTGCCTACAGGACACTTCTACCCCCTTCCTGCCTACAGTACACTTCTACCCCCTTCCTGCCTACAGGGCACTTCTATCCCCTTCCTGCCTACAGGGCACTTCTACCCCCTTCCTGCCTACAGGGCACTTATACCCCCTTCCTGCCTACAGGACACTTCTACCCCCTTCCTGCCTACATGGCACTTCTACCCCCTTCCTGCCTACAGCACTTCTACCCCCTTCCTGCCTACAGGACACTTCTACCCCCTTCCTGCCTACAGGGCACTTCTACCCCCTTCCTGCCTACAGGACACTTCTACCCCCTTCCTGCCTACAGGGCACTTCTACCCCCTTCCTGCCTACAGTTCACTTCTACCCCCTTCCTGGCTACAGGGCACTTCTACCCCCTTCCTGCCTACAGGGCACTTCTACCCCCTTCCTGCCTACAGGGCACTTCTACCCCCTTCCTGCCTACAGGGCACTTCTACCCCCTTCCTGCCTACCGGGCCCTTCTACCCCCTTCCTGCTTACCGGGCACTTCTACCCCCTTCCTGCCTACAGGACACTTCTACCCCCTTCCTGCCTACAGGACACTTCTACCCCCTTCCTGCCTACAGGACACTTCTACCCCCTTCCTGCCTACAGGGCACTTCTACCCCCTTCCTGCCTACAGGGCACTTCTACCCCCTTCCTGCCTACAAGCACTTCTACCCCCTTCCTGCCTACCAGACACTTCTACCCCCTTCCTGCCTACAGGACACTTCTACCCCCTTCCTGTCTACAGGACACTTTTACCCCCTTCCTGTCTACAGGGCACTTCTACCCCCTTCCTGCCCAGGCCAATTTCCAGCTTTCAGCGCTGTCACACTTTGAATGACAATTGCGCGGTCATGCAAACAATGCATTCTGTAAACTGATAATGGCTGAATACATGTAAACTGTCAAGGATTTTGCTTGGACAGTCCCACATCTTGACCCTCTGTACTGCCAATGCTGTGTCCCGGACCATGTTCCAGGATCACAGCAGAAATGGTATGTTCCCCTCCAGGGGCGGATTGACAACTCATGGGGCAATAGGGGATCATGGGGCCCCTGTGTCCTTGCCCAAACTCAAAAAAGCCTATGAAAAAGGTACCAGGGGCATCTCATGGGGCCCCTACTGACCCCGGGCCCTCGGGCAGTGCCAAGTTTCCAAATGGTCAGTCCGCCCCTGTTCCCCTCACTTCCTTTGGGCTGACCTGGAAACACAAGCAACGTTATCCTCCTTCCTAAAATGAACAATCTCTGACATACGTGTGAACTGGCCCCGTTTTGGAAGAACATTCCCACATCTTGGGACTCTATACCGCCAATGTGTGTTCTAGGAGATGTCCAAGGATCAAAGTGGAAATGTCGTGCCCTTGTCATTTCCTATTGGCTGACCTGGAAGTACAAACAATGTATTCTGTAAACTGATAATGGCTAAATATATGTAAACTGTCAATGGTTTTGCTTGGACAGTCCCACACATCTTGACCCTCTGTACTGCCAATGCTGTGTCCCGTACCATGTTCCAGGATCACAGCAGAAATGTGATGTTCCCCTCACTTCGTTTGGGCTGACCTGGAAACACAAACAACGTTATCCTCCTTCCTAAAATGAGCAATCTCTGACATACGTGTGAACTGGCCCCGTTTTGGAAAAATACTCCCACATCTTGGGACTCCATACCACCAATGCTGTGTTCGAGGCCATGTCCCAGGATCAAAGTGGAAATGTCATGTCCTTGTCATTTCCTATTGGCTGGACAATGTTATCTTCCTTCTGTAAACGATTAACCCCCCCCCACATACATGCGTTTTCTCCCAGTTTGGCTATGACAGTCCAACATCCTGACCCTCTCTACCACCAATGCTGTAATCGGGGGTCATGTCTCGGGATCACAGCATCAACCTTGTTTAAGTTACTGTATATAGCTCAAAAAGATATTAATTGCAGGGATCTTGGCCACAAGTGGGCAGTCCCAACATATTTAGAGGTGACTGCAAAACAAGGGGAGAAATTGCGCACCAGCCTAGTGCATTGCCTGAGAATCAATGTTAATAAATTCAAAAGAGATACTGTATGTACTCACAAGCAACTGTGTGTCAAAGGCATATCAATCTCCAAAGCGGCCAAGTCACCAGGTCAACTCTCAAACGGGAGAAGACCCTCAAATGACTGACACGTTTCTAGGAACGATCCCTTCTTCCTCAGAGCCAAACTTTAGAGGTGAGGTCTAAGCAAGACCAACCCTCAAAGTGGAAGCAATTTAGTGTGGCCACCCAGAAAGTGGGAGGATAAAATGTGGACTGAGGGCGGGGTTAACAGTGTCTCGGAACGCAAAGAAAAGGAACCATTGCCTTAATAAATGTCGTTCTTCCTTGAATCTTGAATCTTGGCTTTATGTATTTCTTCCAGATCTGTGCAATAATCCAGTGTGAACCTCAGGGGTGGACTGACAACTCATGGGGCCCCCGGGCAATAGGGGATCATGGGGCCCCTGTGTCCTTCCCCAAACTCAAAAAAGCCTATGAAAAAGGTACCAGGGGCATCTCATGGGGCCCCCTACTGACCCCAGGCCCTCAGGCAGTGTTCGAGTTTACAAATGGTCAGTCCGCCCCTGGGTTCAACCAATAGAAAGCGTTGAGGACAATTCTGCTGGGATCCTGGGACATGGCCTGGGACACACCATCCGTACAGAGGGCTAAGACGAGGAACTATACAAGCAAAACTGGGACAATTTGCATGTATTGTATGTTGTGACGGAATGCCTGTCACCCCCAATTCCATCAGAGAATTGCTTCCTTGCCGCAGGGACACAGGACCAAGGTGTTTAAAAAAAGCCTATGAAAAAGGTACCATGGAAATCTCATGGGGCCCCCTACTGACCCCATGCCCTCAGGCAGTGCCCGAGTTTCCAAATGGTCAGTCCGCCCCGGTGAACCTTTACTTCCTGTATTAAAGACTGCTCACTGCTGCTCTCTCTCCTGGTGCAGCTTGACCGGTCTTGTCTCCGCCCCTTAAGTCATTTTTTGGCGGGCAGCCTGTAGTGGGTGGGGCTTGCTGAGCCCGTCCCACAGTTCTAGTGTCTGCACAGGCTATGTGCAGGAAAGTGATGACCTAACTGTATTTTTACAAGGTATTATTTCAATAAAACGTTTGGGGGGGGGGGGATGAACTTCAGCTTTAATTAGGGAACAAAGCAGAGTTTGAGGGTGTCAGGACCTGGAGCTCCCCAATAGCAAAGATGGAGGTGAAAACATGAAATAATTCCACGTAACAATTTTGGACGGTCATTTTCAATACGACTCTTCTTTAAATGATCAATGGTTTTTTTTTTTTTTTTTTAAATTTCATCCCCGTAAAATGTTGCCGTTGGCATGATCATACCGCGTGGAATAGGCATCCTAAAGCGACACTTTGCTTTGCGGTTGATCATTTTTGTCACGCTGTCATTGCTCCAGGCATAAATATGAATTTTAGCTTTTTTTTTTTTTCCTTTTCTTCTTCTTTTTTTTTTTTAATCTGGCAAATGTGTTACAAAGGAAACATCTGATCTGCTCGAGGCTGACTGCAACAGTCTGGCTTTCTACTCCGTAATATGCACCTGTCAGTACAAACTAACATTTACCTAGTCAGCAGTGCATCAAGGATGACCTGTATGTCATGCTAACCACTCATTCCGGGAAATGCCTTCCTGTGCTTGTAGTACGTCCTTCGTTTTAGCAGTGATGATACAGATGTGATGAGGCCAGGGGCGGACTGACAACTCATGGGGCCCCCGGGCAATAGGGGATCATGGGGCCCCTGTGTCCTTGCCCAAACTCAAAAAAGCCTATGAAAAAGGTACCGGGGCATCTCATGGGGCCCCCTACTGACCCCAGGCCCTCGGGCAGTGCCCGAGTTTTCAAATGGTCAGTCTGCCCCTGGACGAGGCAACAGAATGAGATGGGGCTTTCTAGACATTATTCCGGGAATACATAGAGGGTCATAGTGTTCTCCGTCTATACATAAAACACATTCATGGACATGTCAGTAACATGAACATGTATTGGCTGCATGGAGGGAGCAGCACTGAAGCCAAAATTTCGATAGCAGACCAGGGGCGGACTGACAACTCATGGGGCCCCCGGGCAATAGGGGATCATGGGGCCCCTGTGTCCTTGCCCAAGCTCCAAAAACCTATAAAAAGGTACCAGGGGCATCTCATGGGGCCCCCTACTGACCCTGGGCCCTCGGGCATTGCCCGAGTTTCCAAATGGTCAGTCTGCCCCTGTAGCAGACACTTCCCTCCTCAATGTATGTTCAGGTCCTGGGCCATTGATTGTTATAGGACTGTGTATCTGGTGCCCCCTAGCAGCCAAGTATGATGTGCCTAGAGCAGGGGTCTCTAAACTGCGGCCCACGGGCCAGATGTGGCCCTTTGCTTGTCTTTATCTAGTCCTTGGGGAGCTGCTCCTTCCACTGATATGGGGTACTATTTCTTCCACTGGCACCAAAGACAGGGCACTATTCCTCCCACTGACACCATCAATGGGGTTACTATGCCTCCCACTTACACCATCAATGGGGTTACTATTCCTCTCATTGACACCATCAATGGGGTTACTATTTCTCCCACTGACACCATCAATGGGATACTATCCATCCCACTGACACCATCGATGGGGTACTATTCCTCTCACTGACACCATCAATGGGGTTACTATTCCTACCAGTGACACCATCAGTGGGGTTACTATTCCTCCCACTGACACCATCAATGGGATACTATTCATCCCATTGACACCATCGATGGGGTACTATTCCTCCCACTGACACCATCAATGGGGTTACTATTCCTACCACTGACACCATCGATGGGGTACTATTCCTCCCACTGACACCATCAATGGGGTTACTATTCCTACTACTGACATCATCAGTAGGGTTACTATTCCTCCCACTGACACCATCAATGGGGTACTATTCCTCCCACTGACACCATCAATGGGGTTACTATTCCTCCCACTGACACCATCAATGGGATACTATTCCTCCCACTGACACCATCAATGGGATACTATTCATCCCACTGACACCATCAATGGGATACTATTCCTCCCACTGACACCATCAATGGGATACTTTTCCTCCCACTGACACCATCAATGGGATACTATTCATCCCACTGACACCATCAATGGGGTTACTATTCCTCCCACTGACACCATCAATGGGATACTATTCCTCCCACTGACACCATCAATGGGGTACTATTCCTCCCACTGACACCATCAATGGGGTTACTATTCCTCCCACTGACACCATCAATGGAGTTACCATTCCTCCCACTGACACCATCAATGGGATACTATTCATCCCACTGACACCATCAATGGGGTACTATTCCTCCCGCTGACACCATCATTGGGATACTATTCATCCCTCTGACACATCAATGGGGTGCTATTCCTCCCACTGATACCAGAGACAGTGAACTATTTCTCCCACTGACATCAATAATTTCATTTTTTTTACTCCCACTGACCACCAAGCCTATGGCATTGTTTACTCCCATCAATCCTGTGGCATTTTCTCTACTTTCTCTGGCCGCAGTCCGGCCCCCACTAATATTTAAAAGGCAGTAAACTGGCCCTTTGTTTCAAAAGTTTGGAGACCTTTGGCCTAGAGCATCCTAGCAACCAAAGAAGCTGTGCTGATAGCATTCTAGCAACCAAAGACACTGTGAGGATGAGAGCATCCTAACGACAAAGGGCACTGGGCCGACAATGATGCAATGTGGCCAATAGAGTACTAGCAATCAATGATGTTGTGCTGATAGCGTCCTAGCAACCAAGGAAGCTGTGCCTACAGCATTCTAGCAACTAAGGATGCAATGCTGACAGCATCCTAACAACCAAGGATGTTGTGCAGTCAACAGTGTCCCAGCAACCAAGGATGTTGTTCAGTCAACAGTGTCCTAGTAACCAAGGATGTTATGCGACTGACAGCATCCTAGCAACCAATGCTTCTGTGTAGACAGCATCCTAGCAACCAATGATTCTATGATGACCATATCCAAACAACAAAGGACCTTACACAGTATCCTAGAAACCAAGGATGCTGTGCGGTCATCAGCGCCCTTGCAACCAATGATGGTGTGCTGACCATGTCCTAGCAACCAAGGATGCTGTGCGACCAACAGCATCCTAGCAACCAATGATGCTGTATTGACAGCGCCCTAGCAACCTATGAAGCTGTACTGACAGTGTCCTAGCAACAGGGCAGGGACAAGGGATGGGCAGGAGGCGCAGCTGCCCTGGGCACTGTGGTATCATGTGAGGTGGATGGAAGTGCTTGGAGGGGTGATTTTTTTTGGGGGGAGGGAAATTTGTGCTGGGAGGATTTGGGGGGACAAAGATTTGTACAAGGAGGAGGGGGTATACCAGGGGCGGACTGACAACTCATGGGGCCCCCGGGCAATAGGGGATCATGGGGCCTTTGTGTCCTTGCCCAAACTCAAAAAAGCCTATGAAAAAAGTACCAGGGGCATCTCATGGGGCCCCCTACTGACCCCGGGCCCTCGGGCAGTGCCCGAGTTTCCAAATGGTCAGCCGGTCCCTGGGCTATACATGCTTAGGGGGTAAGCATGCAGATTAGTTGACAATTTTTTTTTTTTTTGGAGGGGGGATTTTTGCTAGCACATAATGCTTATACATCTTGGGGGGGGGAGGGGCACAGTTTGGTATGTTCACCCTGGGCTCTAGATGACCTTGTCCTGGTACTACCTAACAACCAATGATACTGGGCTGACAGCATCCCAGCAACAGATGATGCTATGCAGACAGCATCCTAGCAACACAGTATACTTTCTGGCCCACAGCATCCTAGCAACCAAGGGTTAGGAGAGTATGGCCCTCCTTACTCCAAGATGAAATTATTATTTTTTGCTGACACTTTCTCTAACTTAGAACTGGTAGTGTTTGCTAATGAATTTGTTGCAGCCATTATGGGAAAACAATTCAAATAATAAGGTCCTAGCAACCAATGATGCTGTGTTGACAGTGTGCTAGCAACCAGGGAGACCGTGTGGTTGTCAGCATCCTAGCAACCAGTGATGCTGTGTTGACAGTGTGCTAGCAACCAGTGAGACCGTGTGGTTGTCAGCATCCTAGCAACCAGTGATGCTGTGTTGACAGTGTGCTAGCAACCAGGGAGACCGTGTGGTTGTCAGCATCCTAGCAACCAATGATGCTGTGTTGACAGTGTGCTAGCAACCAGGGAGACCGTGTGGTTGTCAGCATCCTAGCAACCAATGATGCTGTGTTGAAGTGTGCTAGCAACCAGGGAGACCGTGTGGTTGTCAGCATCCTAGCAACCAATGATGCTGTGTTGACAGTGTGCTAACAACCAGGGAGACCGTGTGGTTGTCAGCATCCTAGCAACCAGTGATGCAGGGCTGACAGCTTCTCATCCTGAATCGTGTACATGTGTTGAGACTATCACCAAAATTGTTGCAAGGCTTTTCTGAATTCGTGGCGGCCCTTCTAACAAAACCAGATAAATTGTTGGAAATGCTTTATTGGACTATGGCCAGTCGGTCTGTATTAGGACAGATATTGTAAAATTTGCATTCAGAACCGCAAATTGATGGATCTTTTTTTTTTTTTATTTGGCATCTCAGCATTCAACATCCTCCTGCACCCCCCCCCCCCCCCCAGTCCCTTGTCTACAGAGGCATTGGTGGAAATCAACTTTCAGTAACTTTACCAGTCTGCATGAATAGTTGGCTTTGCGATAGCCATGGTAAGAAGATTCTAACAAGAAGATAACTGCTGGAATTCCCATTAGATGTATGAAATCAAACCTCCACTTGCAGCACCCGGGGGGAAAAAGTATCTGTTTTTGGAAGGAGTATTACCATTATTTTATGTTATTTCTTTTGCAAAACATGTCAGTGTTTACAGAGCGGCGTGCTCCTTCCTCCGTGACTCCAATCAATCTCCCTTTGTAATTCTCGCAGATTCGCCTTCCCGCTTTGACTTCATTGTTTTCCCTCTCCGCGTTTTACAGAAAAGATAACAATTATTTCTTCGCTCGCTGTACCTCTCTGCCTAAGTAGCAGAAATATTGATGCGGATATGATCTGCACCACTCAGCCCCGGCTCCGCTTCCTGCAGAATGAAGGAGACGAGCGCCGGTGATGGAAAGCCACGTCAAGCTTCGGATACACTCAACGTAAACTATTACAAACGTGACATGGGCAGGAATGAATCCCGACACTGTCACCGCCCGGCAATACTGACCGGTGCAGGGGAGAGGGACGTCACAGAGGAAAGTTCAGAAGGAAAAAATCGGAGATCTGGTCAGAGAGTGATTTATGACTTCCACCGCCGGGGCAATCCGTCAGTGTCGTGTCTGTTGCTGGGCAAACACTCACCATTCGTAATTACAGTAACAAGCTTAGTGCGCAATCACATCCCTACACCGCCGGATGCACGCATTGCCAGTTATTGCTATTTATTTATACTGACGTTGTACAACAAACTCAATTTTGTGCTAAGAACGCCAGTGTATGACATTGTCAGTGACCTTCATATCAGATCTCTCTCTCTCTCTCTCTCTCTCTCTCTCTTTCTTTTTTCCATTTTGGTCAAAACAAATCCAGATTTAAATATTATTGAGTAAAGCTGCACAAATGCCCTTCCTTCCTCCTGTTCTTTCTTTCTTTCTTTCTTTCTTTCTTTCTTCTTCCTTTATTTCTTCCTCCCTTCCTTCCTTCCTTCCTTCCTCCCTCCCTCCCTCTTTTCCTTCCTCCCTTCCTCCCTTCCTTCCTTCCTTCCTTCCTTTCTCACTTCTTTCCT